AAACAATTTTAGATGTTTGGCCGAATCGAGAACGAAGATAGTATCAGCAAGTTAATGCTGGTCGAAATTTCTCTGTGCTACGCCATAAGTACCTATCCTGTAACGGGGAATGGAGAATCGCATTAGCCTGTTACAAATCTGTAGCTAACAGCTTGCATGTGCCTTTAGGGTTCAGTATTATGGGCCAGCTGTGCATGGTGCTGGAATGAGTCCAGTGTGCATGTGTAAAGTAACCTTGCAGGGTTTTGGACTGTTTGAGAAGGAGGGCGACAGGCCACCTGCCACAGGGGCTTGCCCTCTCTGGGTCCCCACTCCTCCCTTTTAACTGGTTGCCAAGTTGGGGCTTCTTTCATGTGTGCCTGAGCTCTTTAAGACATTAGCAAATATTGAACAAGGCATGGTCCAGACTCCAACGCATCTGTTTGTCACAGAGTCACCTCTGTTCTGCAGAGAAGATCAGTGTGTGAACATTGCTAGGCCTGTTGTATTAGCATCCATGTGTGGACAGAAAGTTATTGTTGATTCTCAGCAAACATAAATGCTCACTTTTGATGAGCTTAGGCTAAACCATGTTGCACTGTAAATAACTAGAGATGAATTAAAGAAACGTAGCCTGGCTATGTTCTCTACAGACAAGTGATGCAGTGATTGGATGTAAGAGATGGAGCTCAGTAATAAGTTAACACAGCCTACATTCTTTACTATGCCTCAGACTCCATGACTCAGAATCCATCATCTGGGATTGTTTGACTAATAAGATAAATATGCACATTGTTTCTTGTAATACTTATGAACAACAGCATACTTGAAAATATGACTATTCATGATAAAACAAACACAACGTAAACAAACAAACCGACAATCCAAACAAGTAAGCTTTCCCGTCTGTCAGCAGCTAGTTGGTATTTTTTGGGAGCATTATGCCAGTGACCTACTTTTTTCCTTTATTATGAAGCACCATAACTTGAGGATTTCCATGACTTTTCTAAATAATATGCTAAGAACAGGAAAGGTATACATTGTGCTATAATCCATCACTTCAACCTGCTATTGGTGGACAGAAAATATCACCATGTAATGAAACTCACCTGGTGGGACTGGTGTGGCCTGTTTCACCCTGCTGTTGCTCTCCACCCAATCATCAAGCCTGTCTAGAAGCAAGAGCATGTATTTATAAGTTCCTTTGAAAGGGACTTCCTCATTCACCATACTATTATCTGAGGGCAGTCCACTGACTAGCTCTCTGGAAGTTTCCTGAGACAACAGACTTGGAACATATTTCTCTTTCTTCTCTATAAGGTCGTGGAGCAGCGGTGTAACTGTCTAAGCAAGTATGTGGATGTTTCATCATATTTAATTATCTGAATTCCGAGGCTGTTATATTATGATCGTTTATTAACCAATCTCTATAGGATAGGCTTACAATGATCTGGGTTTTTAGTTTTCTATGTCTGATGTGGGCCCCTCATACACTACCGTTCAAAAGTTTGGGGTCACTTAGAAATGTCCTTGTTTTCGAAAGAAAAGCATTTTTTTTGTCCATTAAAATAACATAAAATTGATCAGAAAAACAGTGTAGACATTGTTAATGTTGTAAATGGCTATTGTAGCTGGAAACGGCGGTTTTATAATGGAATATCTACATAGTCGTACAGAGGCCCATTATCAGCAACCATCAGTCCTGTGTTCCAATGGCACGTTGTGTTTGCTAATCCAAGTTTATAATTTTAAAAGGCTAATTGATCATTAGAAAACCCTTTTGCAATTATGTTGTCTACACTGTATTTCTGATCAATTTGATGTTATTTTAATGGGAAAAAAAATGCTTTTCTTTCGAAAACAAGGACATTTCTAAGTGACCCCAAACTTTTGAACGGTAGTGTAGATTCTGGTGATATAGCCTAGGCCCAGGTAAAGAACATTTGTTTTTGAGAGAGTGAGAGTGGGAGAGGAGAGGGATGTGGTCAGATTATAAATGGCCTATTTGGATGTCTCTTATTGACATTGGATTTCTTTACCTTAAAGGTCCAATGCAGCTGTTTTTATCTCAATATCACATTTATGGGTAACAATTTATCTACCTTACTATGATTGTTTTCAATGAAAATGGTGAAAAAGAAACAAATAGTTTCTTAGCAAAGAGCAATTTCTCAAGCAATAAGAAACAGCTCTTACACTAAAAGGGCTTATCATAATTTTCAACATTTCACAGTATTATTCCATGTGGAAATGTATATAAAACACAGAAAAATCATGTTTTTGACTGCACTGGGCATAATATTATCTACACAAACTCATCATATAAGCTGTGTTAGCTTTCTCTCTGCCGTAACAAGATGCTACGCCTAATATTGTGGATGTATCTTTTTGGCTCTGTGGCATTCTTTACCCCATGTCATCATTAGGAGTGAGTAGTGAAACGGATACGAGTAAACGGCAGTTCCTACAGTAAATTGAATAACAAAGTTTTTGCGTACCAAAAGCAGGGCAAGTATCGTTACATCATTACAGTATCACTCAGGGCATTGTGCCAGTATAGAGTGGCACAATGCCTTGAGTGCCCTAAGTGAATGCCACTCCTATGATGAGAACCAAAACAATTGTGCAATCATGTTTGTCAGGCCTGAAGCTTTTTTTGTGTAAGAGTCCAGTAAACAGTACTACTTAACCAGATCTGACCCTTTTTTTCAATTCCCAGAATCTTTGAAATAGAAGAGAAAAGCCACAATATAATATTGCAGTTTAGGCGCAATTTAGTTTTTGGCCACTAGATGGCAGCAGTGTGTGTGCAAAGTTTCAGATTGATCCAGTGAAGCGTTGCAATACTGGACTATTTTGTATCAAGTCTGCCCAAATGTGCCGAATTGGTCAATTGATACATTTTCAAGTGCATAACTATAGAGAACATACAAAAATGATATGGTAATACAAATTGTAAGTTTACACACTCCAAGGAATGTCATACATGATGGATCATTAGCTTATACACTAACTTTCACACGTCTAGATGGACGGGCGGGGTGGGTGTGGAGCCAGAGACAGCAAGGGTTCAAACTGTAGAACCCAGTTCCTACATTTGAATATAAAAATTGATTTTATCAAACAAAATTATGCTACATTTTATCTCTGGGACCCTCAGGATGACGAATCAGAGCAAGATTACTGAATGTAAGTACATTATTTACCTTCAGAGGTGAATGTATCAAACCAGATGCCGTGATAAGTATTTTGTTGTTGTGCACTCTCCTCAAACAACAGCATGGTATTTTTTCACTGTAGATTAACAAGAATTTAAGCTTTCTGCCCATATAAGACATGTTTATGTCCTGGAAAGTTTGCTGTTACTTACAGTGGCTTGCGAAAGTATTCACCCCCCTTGGCATTTTTCCTATTTTGTTGCCTTACAACCTGGAATTAAAATTGATTTTTTGGGGGTTTGTATCATTTGATTTACACAACATGCCTACCACTTTGAAGATGCAAAATATCTGAAACAAACAAGAAATAAGACAAAAAAACTGAAAACTTGAGCGTGCGTAACTATCTTTATCTACCACCTTTTTCAGCAATTACAGCTGCAAGTCTCTTGGGGTATGTCTCTGTAAGCTTGGCACATCTAGCCACTGGGATTTTTGCCCATTCTTCAAGGCAAAACTGCTCCAGCTCCTTCAAGTTGGATGGGTTCCGCTTGTGTACAGCAATCTTTAAGTCATACCACAGATTCTCAATTGGATTGAGGTCTGGGCTTTGACTAGGCCATTCCAAGACATTTAAATGTTTCCCCTTAAACCACTCGAGTGTTGTATTAGCAGTATGCTTAGGGTCATTGTCCTGCTGGAAGGTGAACATCCGTCCCAGTCTCAAATCTCTGGAAGACTGAAACAGGTTTCCCTCAAGAATTTCCCCTGTATTTAGCACCATCCATCATTCCTTCAATTCTGACCAGTTTCCCAGTCTCTGCCGATGAAAAACATCCCCACAGCATGATGCTGCCACCACCATGCTTCACTGTGGAGATGGTGTTCTCGGGGTGATGAGAGGTGTTGGGTTTGCGCCAGACATAGCGTTTTCCTTGATGGCCGAAAAGCTCAATTTTAGTCTCATCTGACCAGAGTACCTTCTTCCATATGTTTGTGGAGTCTCCCACATGGCTTTTGGCGAACACCAAACGTGTTTGCTTATTTTTTTCTTTAAGCAATGGCTTTTTTCTGGCCACTCTTCCGTAAAGCCCAGCTCTGTGGAGTGTACAGCTTAAAGTGGTCCTATGGACAGATACTCCAATCTCCACTGTGGAGCTTTGCAGCCCCTTCAGGGTTATCTTTGGTCTCTTTGTTGCCTCTCTGATTAATGCCCTCCTTGCCTAGTCCGTGAGTTTTGGTGGGCAGTCCTGTCTTGGCAGGTTTGTTGTGGTGCCATATTCTTTCAATTTTTTAATAATGGATTTAATGGTGCTCCATGGGATGTTCAAAGTTTCTAATATTTTATTATAACCCAACCCTGATCTGTACTTCTCCACAACTTTGTCCCTGACCTGTTTGGAGAGCTCCTTGGTCTTCATGGTGCCGCTTGCTTAGTGGTGTTGCAGACTCTGGTGCCTTTCAGTACAGGTGTATATATACTGAGATCATGCGACACTTAGATTGCACACAGGTGGACTTTATTAATTATGTGACTTCTGAAGGTAATTGGTTGCACCAGATCTTATTTAGGGGCTTTATAGCAAAGGGGATGAATACATATGCACGCACCACTTTTCCGTTATTTATTTTTTAGAATTTTTTGAAACAAGTTATTTTTTTTCATTTCAAATCAATTTAAATTACAGGTTGTAATGCAACAAAATAGGAAAAACGCCAAGGGGGTTGAATACTTTTGCAAGGCACTGTACAACAGTCATGCTAATCACATTAGCGCACATTAGCACAACCGTCCCGTATACGAACACCGATCCCATAGATGTTAAACAATAATGGTGATACTATTTCATCTTGTCTTTGCAGTCTCTGTGTGAAAGGGTGTGGCCTGACGCCTGCACCACTCAGCATGGACCCAAAGAAGAAGACTGTGTGGGAGAACCTGCGTGAGAAGACCAAGACCCAGTTCAACAACTTAAAGAAGAAGAAGACCCCGGGGAAACTGGACAAGAAGAAGCCCCTGCAATACAGGCGCAGTATGTCAGTGCCGGACCTGAGGTTTATTCAGGCTGAACCGTCTCCCGCAGACAGTACCTTCTCCACAGCCTCAGATGCCATCTTCTTTGGCAGCTCCTCAGGCTCCAGTGATAACGCCTCTATTAACTCAGTCCCTCTATCCACAGACAGGCTGACTGCAACTGATGCAGGCCCCTCAGGTAGAAAGACTGTGTATGATTCGGCCTTCATAGATAACATGAAGGTATCTGGATCTAGAATGAGTGCACCTGTGGAGACACAAACTCTTTATGAAGAATCAGAAGAGGAGGACATGGCGACCTTTATGGGCAGAATCCACATGCCATCAGACAAATGTAACACACCTGCAGAGAGATCTGCCTCTTCTGTTTCTTCTTCTTCAGCAGACAGAGTAAAAACAACAGTGGACAGAGGGAACCCACCTACCCAGAGATCAAATGCTCCACATATACCTATGCCCACACCAAGATTGACTTCTTCAGTGGAGAGAATTAATGTTTCTACAGAAAAATTGTTATTCTCTAAAGACAGAGTGGTCACTTTTAGGGAACGAGTGAGTGCATCTGCTGAAAGATCTGCTTCTTCTGTCTCAGACCAAACAAACCTGGTTACAGAGAGACTGGCTGCTTCCAGGGAGCGAGGGAAACAACCAGCAGAAGTGAGATGGTCTGTTCCTTCAAATCCACTGGACAGACTGAACATCCCTCCAGATAGATGGTCTCTGCCAGTGGACAGGGCAGACAGGATGGGTTCCCCGAATAGGATGGGCACCCCTGCGGACAGTGGGGACAGTTCTGTGTGTGGAACCCCGTTCGAGGAACAAGCCTACTCGTTCTGGCCCACTGACTCTGAGGACCTGGATATGAGGGAGCCCTCCCTCTCCACAAACATCAGAGACATCTTATGCAGGGAGCCCCAGGAAGACATTGAGGTCAGATACCACACTAACATTGTACTTTACAATACCCTCCACATATATACACTATCGGTCAATCTATGTAAAGGTAGGTTAAGTAATTAAATATAAACTGAAATCAAATTGCCCCATAAAAACAAAAATATAAATGCAACATGCAACAATGTCAAATATTTTACTGAGTTACAGTTGATATAATGAAATTAGTCAATTGAAATAAATTCAGTAGGCCCTAATCAATGGATTTCACATGACTGGGAATACAGTTTATGCATCTGTAGGTCACAGATACCTTTAAAAAAAAGGTAGGGGCGTGGATCAGAAAACCAGTCAGTATCTGGTCACCATTTGCCTCATGCATCGTGACACATCTCCTTCGCATAGAGTTGATCAGGCTGTTGATTGTGTCCTGTGGAATGTTGTTCTACTCCTCTTCAATGGCTGTGTGAAGTTGCTGGATATTGGCAGGAACTGGAACATGCTGTCGTACACGTCGATCCAGAGCATCCCAAACATGCTCAATGGGTGACATGTCTGGTGAGTATCCAGGCCATGGAAGAACTGGGACATTATCAGCTTCCAGGTATTGTGTACAGATCCTTGCGACATGGGGACGTGCATTATTATGCTGAAACATGAGGTGATGGCGGCGGATGAATGGCACGACAATGGGCCTCAGGATCTCGTCACAGTATCTCTGTGCATTAAAATTGCCATTGATAAAATGCAATTGTGTTTGTTGTCTGTGGCTTATACCTGCCCATACCATAACCCCACCGCCACCATGGGGCGCTCTGTTAACAACGTTGACATCAGCAAACTGCTCGCCCACATGACGCCATACACGTGGTCTGCGGTTGTGAGGCCGGTTGGATGTGCCAAATTCTATAAAACGACGTTGGAGGCGGCTTATGGTAGAGAAATTAACATTAAATTATCTGGCAACAGCTCTGGTGGACATGCCAATTGCACGCTCCCTCAAAACTTGAGACATCTGTGGCATTGTGTTGAGTGACAAAACTTCACATTTTAGTGTGGCCTTTTATTGTCCCCAGCACAAAGTGCACCTGTGTAATGATCATGCTGTTTAATCAACTTCTTGATATACCACACCTGTCAGGTGGATGGATTATCTTGGCAATGGAGATGCTCACTAACAGGGATGTAAATAAATCTGTGCACACATTTGAGAGAAATAAGCTTGGAAAGTTTATGGGATCTTTTATTTCAGCTCATGAAACATGGGACCAACACTTTACATGTTGCGTTTATATTTTTGTTCAGTGTATATTCAATCAATAAAACACATGTGCCAGTTGAGAATCATTCATCGAAACTGTAATGAGCTGTGTTACCTGCTTGCCTCTGGCGGGGTCACAGCGGCGCTTTGCAGTGGCAAAGGATGTACTGCGAGATTGTTGCTTCTTGTCCCCCTCTGAGAATGTTTCTTTGTGCATGATAAGCATATGATTTCTCGTGGATAGGGCTATGTGTTTAGGTTAATCATGTCAAATGATCTGGATTTGAACCTTTATTTTAAGCCATTTCCAGAAATAGGAATTAGACCCAAAATGAATTGTCTGATAATGGTGCTGGACCATCTGACATAAAAAGAAAATGGGACAGTTTGATGAAAAGCTTTAAATAAAGGTTAAAATCGAGGTCATGCAACATGATTAACCAAAACACAGGGCCCTACTCATGGAGCTAGTTGTGCTGTGATAGGAGAGCTTGAGCTGGCCCAACTCTCTTAACCGTTAGGCTACCTGCCACCCTGTTTTTCATTTTGACCAGAGTTAAGAAATTAATAAGACAAATAGTTTTACAGTATTATATATTTTTTAAATCTCTGGTTAAAGATCGAGTTTTGACGTCCGTTCGAGTACTCGATTAAAACACTGTATAGCATAAAAACATGGTTAGAATTATAATTTTTATATTATGGATGGTCAGTCCTTGTATCCATAGAGAGTGGTTACAAAACAGAGGCGGGTGGCCTCTTTGTTATTGTTTCAATTAAAGATTCTAGCTTTAAGACAATGCTTCAGTGGTTCTTTGTCAGAAATCTCGTTGCAGATAGCAATTCGTATACTCATATAATGTATAAGCTGAGCAGAATAAACATTATTTTAGTAGCTCTTGTGCAGACCTGAAGCCACTTCCATTGTATTAAATGTAGATCTGTCTTATTACAAGGCCAGACATTGTTGAGGCCACACACCTGCCTTACTGGTTGCCGGTACAATTATAGTACCTGAGGTCAACAGTGGTCAACAACGTGACTGAACATGATAACATCTAACTTTGTTCCATACTTTGTAGATGTCTTTTTGATAAGCTTACATTTTTTTCTCCCATAGTTACCCAATGAGCACAATGATTTCAATGCCCAGCCCTTGCAGGGTCAATCAGGCAACAATGTGAGTACTGGACTTCCAGACCTTGTCAACAATAATGGACAACACTAAGGCTGTAGACTATAAAGCATCATATTAATGTGATTCCTTTCCTTGACAGGCTATGGCAGCAGGGGGCCCACCTGGTCCTATCCAGAAGTACCTCCTCACCGTCAACCTGAAGGAGGGCAGGAACCTGGTCATCAGAGACCGCAATGGTAAGTGGATGGAAAGAACCTGCTACTTCTGGAGGTCTACATATGGATGAATGTAATGTCTGAGGCATGCTGGGTATATTGATAGATACATACTTTCAACTTGAGAAGGAGTGTCTTATGCTGTGAGTAGGATGATGACAAAGCAATTCATCATATTTACTTTGTTGATCTTTATCTTGAACATTTCATCAAGAAAGTATTTTTAGTTGAAGCACATTACAAAGGGCCCATAACTGTGTGGAATGTATCTTTGACAGTGATTCCAGTTAGACCAGACTCTGTCGCCAAAACACACCCAGGAGCCTTCCTTTAAGGAAGCAAACCCTGCCCAACTCCATATGAGCAGTTACACTACAGAAAAGCTTACATGGGGTTGGTATATCTTAGATATATTTCTGTGACTTTGAAAAATATGGATAACTCGTATAGTGCAAAAGTGTGTTTTGCCAGCCAGGCTCCACCACAGTATTCTCAGTGGTGTGCTGAATAGATTGCGATGCACTCTGGCTGTTTCTTTGTAAACAACATGTGTGGAGAAACAAATTATGTGGTGTGGTTTTCATAACCAATGCAAATTTAGAGGCTATAATTGTTTAGTCAGTTGGAGAGTTCATGCAATGTTTCACTGTTACTGTTAAATAACATTTTCCTGCCACAAATAACAAGCTGCCACCTGCTGGAGGTTTCCTAAAATACATCCTAAGAAATGTGGTATTTTCTACTGTAATTCATAGTGTTCTGAACACGTGAAAGGAAATCCCTGATCTTACATCACAATGGTTGGAAATGTTTATGTTTACTTATGTCATACTTATTATTTTGGTCTGTATAGGACAGTAGATGTTGATTTGTTGGGATGTCATATACACTGGTTATACAAAACATTAGGAACACCTGCTCTTTCCATGACATAGAGACATAGTGACCAGGTGAATCCAGGTGAAAGCTATGATCCCTTATTGATGTCACTTGTTAAATCCACTTCAATCAGTGTAGCCAACTTGAGAAGCACTGGAGTCAACATGGGCCAGCATCCCTGTGGAACGCTTTTGACACCTTGTAGAGTCCATGCCCCAACGAACTGAGGCTGTTCTGAGGGCAAAAGGGGGTGCAACTCAATATTAGGAAGGTATTTTGTACACTCAGTTTATGGCATTCCGTTATATACTGCAGATAAGATACACAGGGCTTGTGGAATACTACTGACTGTTTGGGGTCTGTATGCCCAAAATGATTGATTGTTATATTTAATATTTGCTGGATATGAATTATCTAGTCTCACCAAAATACAACTAAAATGTTTCTCAAATGCATACCTAAATTTTTCATTTCCTCAGTCATCTGCCCATTCTCATTGTGGGCTTGTAGGAATGCAATGCAATTAGTTTGGGAAGCAGTGACCTCACCTGTCCATAGACTGAATTGCTGTTTGAAAGAAACAACATGGCCTTTATGAATTTTCCTCTGCGATTGAAAACCAAACATCTCTGGAACATTTTGTTTATTTTATGAACATATCAGTTGGAGGTTTTTGGCTGAATTTCAATCAAACATTTTTAAAACTGCAATCTTAAATTCCACCTCTTTGCCTGACTGACCGCTGCTGCCATATGTAGGCTATATTATTTTCTCTATGTAACCCTCAGCTTGTGCTAAGGTTTCTTATGTGACTGTCGCCGTGGCTTCACTAACCTTGTCGTCTCGGGCCACAGCTCCCTGCTAGTTGAGAACTTACTTTTCCTGACAGGATGTCACAATGATGATGATGCAATCCCCATACGCCCCCTGCCTCTCCACTGTTTGCCCAACAATCAACACGATGCCAGAGATCCACCAACACCATCCACTGTCATTACATATTCTGAAAGGACCCTCACCACCAGCCACCAGCCACCAGCCACCAGCCCCCACCTCTCTTTTTTGTTCTCCCCTTTTTTCGCGGTTAATTTCAATGGTCACCGTTCTGTCACACCAGAGCTTTTCTCCTCACTGGCTGCCACATTCTCCTCCTGTCAAGTTGCCTGGAGGTTTTCCTGTCAGACTGGCAGGGCGGAGCTGCTGTGGGTCCTGCCTGCTTTTGGGAGATGTTCATTTGGAGTCGGAAGCTGACAGGTCTGACAGCCCATCCCCACAGGGCCTTTGTCATGGGATTCAAGCCTCCCTGCAGGTTCTCTCAAGCACCCTTTTATTCCACCATACAAATAAAGGCATGGGACTGGCTTTCATTTTTCAGCCAATCTTCATACCATGGCTGAGACAAAGACGCCCCGTCCCCCCACGCCACCACCAGGCCGACTTTCTTAACAGGCTTGGGAGATTAACACCGGTTGCTCCTGGTTTCTGGACTTTATTTGCTGGTTGCCTCATGCTGCCGAGAGTTTCTTCTTTCACAATTAAACAGATACATCCCTCTGTTTTCTTAAATAAATGTGGGGTGTACCTCCTCCCTGCATATCTCAGTCTCTCACACAGCTCTTTGATATACAGTTGAAGTCGGAAGTTTACATACACCTTAGCCAAATACATTTAAACTCAGTTTTTCACAATTCCTGACATTTAATCCTAGTAAACATTCCCTGTCTTAAGTCAGTTAGAATCACCACTTTATTTTAAGAATGTGAAATGTCAGAATAATAGTAGAGAGAATTATTTCTTTCAGCTTTTATTTCTTTCATCACATTCCCAGTGGGTCAGAAGTTTACATACACTCAATTAGTATTTGGTAGCATTGCCTTTCAATTGTTTAACTTGGATCAAACGTTTCGGGTAGCCTTCCACAAGCTTCCCACAATAAGTTGGGTGAATGTTGGCCCATTCCTCCTGACAGGTTTGTAGGCCTCCTTGCTCAAACACGCTTTTTCAGTTCTGCCCACAAATGTTCTATAGGATTGAGGTCAGGACTTTGTGATGGCCACTCCAATACCTTGACTTTGTTGTCCTTAAGCCATTTTGCCACAACTTTGGAAGTATGCTTGGGGTCATTGTCCATTTGGAAGACACATTTGCGACCAAGCTTTAACTTCCTGACTGATGTCTTGAGATGTTGCTTCAATATATCCACATAATTTTCCTTCCTCATGATGCCATCTATTTTGTGAAGTGCACTAGTCCCTCCTGCAGCAAAGCACCCCCACAGCATGATGCTGCCACCCACGTGCTTCACGGTTGGGATGGTGTTCTTCGGCTTGCAAGCAGCCCCCTTTTTCCTCCAAACATAACGATGGTCATTATGGCCAAACAGTTCTATTTTTGTTTCATCAGACCAGAGGACATTTCTCCAAAAAGTACGATCTTTGTCCCCATGTGCAGTTGCAAACCGTAGTCTGGCATTTTTATGGCGGTTTTGGAGCAGTGGCTTCTTCCTTGCTGAGCGGCCTTTCAGGTTATGTCGATATAGGACTTGTTTTACTGTGGATATAGATACTATTGTACCTGTTTCCTCCAGCATCTTCACAAGGTCCTTTGCTGTTGTTCTGGGATTGATTTAAACTTTTCGCATCAAAGTACGCTCATCTCTAGGAGACAGAACGCGTCTCCTTCCTGAGCGGTATGACGGCTGCGTGGTCCCATGTGTTTATACTTGCGTACTATTGTTTGTACAGATGAATGTGGTACCTTCAGGCGTTTGGAAATTGCTCCCAAGGATGAACCAGACTTGTGGAGGTCTATAATAATTTTTCTGAGGTCTTTGTTAATTTGTTTGATTTTCCCATGATGTCAAGCAAAGAGGCACTGAGTTTGAAGGTAGGCCTTGAAATACATCCACAGGTACACCTCCAATTGACTCAAATTATGTCAATTAGCCTATCAGAAGCTTCTAAAGCCATGACATCATTTTCTGGAATTTTCCAAGCTGTTTAAAGGCACAGTCAATTTAGTGTATGTAAAACCACTGGAACTGTGATACAGTGAATTGTAAGTGAAATAATCTGTCTGTAAACAATTGTTGGAAAATGAACTTGTGTCATGCACAAAGTAGATGTCCTAACCGACTTGCCAAAACTATAGTTTGTTAAAAAGGAATTTGTGGAGTGGTTGAAAAACGAGTTTTAATGACTCCAACCTAAGTGTATGTAAACTTCCGACTTCAACTGTATCTAGCTGGGGAGGAAGGTGTGTGTGTCTGTGTGTTCTAAATTGTGTGGATCTGACTTGTTTCTTGTGTCATATATTTTTTTTATACAATTGTTATGACACCCATTTGCAAGTAGGATTTTGCCTAATATCATGACTGATTGTGTTGATAATCTGATAATGCTTTTATTTTCTGAACCTTCCGTTTTGTTTTTGAAACTCTAGGTAAAAGTGATCCTTATGTCAAGTTCAAACTGGAAGGGAAGACAATTTACAAAAGCAAAGTTGTGTATAAGAACCTGAATCCAAAATGGAGCGAGTCCTTCTCCTTCCCCCTGCAGGATCGAGAGCAGGTTGTTGACGTGAGGGTGAGTATCACGTTGATCAGTTTTTTTTACTTAGGTTGTCTAAGTAACACCTACACATGAACGACAATGTACTTATATTGTCATAAAAGTGACAGATTGACACTCTGATCATGTCATAGCTATGGCCTGCATAGGATATAAAACTGGCATGCAATATTAGTTAATTGTTCCAAACCTGATTGACATACAGTAACTGTTTTTATATTGAGTATGGTGTTTATAATTGTTGCAGGTCTATGATAAGGACCTAACCACTGATGACTTCATGGGTTCCAGCACGATTGTCATCAGAAACCTTGAATTAGACAAGTGAGTAATACACATGAAGCTACTAATCACTCAGCCTGTGTATTATCTAGTAAACTGCAGTACTTCTTGTCTCTGTCTCTCTCTCTGTCCAGGACCGGTGAGATGGTGTTGAGTCTGGAGGACCCCAACAGTCTGGAGGATGACATGGGGGTCATCGTCATGGACACATGCCTCACTTTTAGAGACGCTACTATCAAAAGACGTGTAAGCCTCATTTGATTGGAGTCTCTATAGAATGTTACATCTCTAATTTTCAATGTCAATATTTTCAATATTTTAAAATGTTCCTGAATTTTTTTCTCCTTTACAGAAATGGCACCAGAAAAAGAGGGTAGGATTTTGAAATGTCTATTTTGTACTGGTCTACTTTCTACTTGCATAATTTTGTGGTGTAAATCTAATTCTAAAATGTGTTCAATGTCAGTATCTGCCAATGTCTATTGCTAGAATAGACATACAATACTAGACCTACTAACAGTATAGCCTTTACTTTAGTCAGAGAAATCCAAATATGGCTGATATTGTGCCTGATATCCAGCAGCAGGGGGCAGTAGATCACTGTATTATATATGATGATCATAACAATGAGCGAAGTATAGTCCCAGGATCTTTGTTTTTGTGCATGCATTTTCAACCTTAAATAATGTATTTCGTAAACATGGTTTCATAGTTAACTTCCTTGTCACAGTGCCAATGACAAGTTGCATTTTCTATTTGGAATTGTGTAGAGTCAAGTGTCAGACTAAACAATGCATTACAAGTGATCTAAACATGTTAACATCATATCTACATGTTGACTAAGCACAGTTTGGAGTAGAGCCCTTAATACAGCTCTCTCTTTTGAAGCATTGTGATTAAGGCTGAAATTGGATGCAGTTAGTGTTGTTGTGTTTTGGACTGGTGCTCTTCTCATTATGGTGCTTGTGGGTTTATTCTCACACCTATTCAGTCACTACATCTGCCACTGTTTAATCTCTCTCTAAATCTGAGTTTGATGTTAAATAGGTAAGAAATAAAACACAATTCACATACCCATTGTATGCTCTGCAGATGGATAAATGGACAGACAGAAAGAAAATGTGGAAATGTTCATAAAATCATGGGGCAAATTTACACTCTCATTTTGCAGAGGCAGATGACAGTGCCAATACATTTTGGTTGCCGCATGACAATGTTAATGTGATGTTTGAATTCATATTTTTGACAAATATGATTTCTCTAAAATACTGTTCCATTTGACACCTATCCTGGTGGCCGGGACTGAGCGCTAAGCTCCTAGTCATTCTTCATCTCCCAGTGCTATTCCTCACTCCTGTTCACTCTCAACACAACTACCACAGAGACAGTGAATGGCAACTGCCCCAGTAAAACTCTGTTTCTGTGCTTTGCGTGATAGTGTTTCTGTCTGGAGGAGGCCGTATGGGAGAGAGGGGGGGCTGGCTCTGCTGTTCGAGGCACATTGCCAGTGTGGGATGCCGAAGATTCGCGAGGTTGATAATTCCCAGGCATAGCGGGCAATAACCCAGATGTTAGGATGTAATATCACAGCTGTGGATGGACAGAGCCGAGGTACCAGCCAAATGGACCTAGGTTTGAGCTCATCCTGGTCGTCCCCATGCTGTCCCACCATATGGAAGCAATCGCAGACCCCTTTTAGGACCAGGAATAGACTCTCTTTAGGGGCCACTTACAGTTAAGTGGAATTGTTTTATTGGCCGCTGAGATAGAACTGTGTCCAAGATAAACACTTGGAATGACTTGGCCGGGCCCTGCTTTATGTCGCTCCTCCACTCCTCTGTGTTCCTTCCTCTGTAGCGAGGAGAGGAGGGGTATTTATTGGGCCGAGCAGCGCTGTGCCGTGGTATTCCATGTTAATGCAGGTCCCTGAGACCAATGTACAGGCTTTGATCCCCAGCGGCCTGGTCCCAGGGCTGCGGTGTGGGTGGAGACCCTGGAGAGAAGGGGAGAGGAGATGGGAGGGACGGGGTGACAGGGGAGCCGTTTGAAGCTGTGCCGGCCAGGGCAGCAGAGGGAGACAGAGTATCAAAGAGGCCAGAGCAGATTACAGCCCTGCTCTTTAATTAGTCAGCCCACACAACCTCTCTCTCTCTCTCTGCTGTTTGTTTTGAAAGAGACAGCCTATCACTGCACAGGCTCAAGGGAACTTTAACACATGGACACGTATCAAGGCCTGTTTCTCCCCCTCTGTCTCCCGCTGTGCCACGGCAGGACTGTTGGATCATTTGGGAGGGGCTGTCCTTGATGTCTCAGTGTTCTGACATCCTGGATATCTTGTTCCTTTCACACCCTAATAGCTGATTTTAGAGATTTGATTGGACAATTGAGATAAGAGATATCACTGAAGACAGTCGACATTTCGGTTTGGGATTTAGTGAAGAATAGTCCAGTGTGTATGCTGTATAAATCACTCCCAGGCTGTATGTACATCCATGCATAATTTGCTGATGAGAGGGTTGTGTGGTTGGATTGCATCATTACTCACTGCTGCCTGCTGTCTCCTGTGCAGTATGCCAAGTGTCCTGCCTCCCCCCACTCTGTCTCTGGGTCTGTGATGAGTGGGACTGTCACAGCCAGGGACATCTGGCTGCTCTGCTCTGCTCACTGACGTTCCCTCTCTTCAGGAACCTCTCCTCTCCTCGCTGGTGTGGCTCTGCTGCTGTCACTGGAGATGGGCTAATGTGCACAAACAGAGAGAGGGTCTGGAACCTAGCGGAGTCCTACAGTACTTTCATGCAGTCCATAGATGTAATGAGGTGCCAGACTTGAGGGGCAGGTGAATGGAGTGGGGTAGCCACTCAGAGAGTTTTGTCATGGAGGGTGTCCTAATGCAGCTGTGTGTCCATGTTTGAGTCTCTTAGGGAGGCCAGAACCAAAAGGGGGACCAAACCCAGCCCCAAGATAAGGCCCAGTCACAGCACTCGGCTGAGGCCACCAAGAACAGCCAGCTGTGGAGTGGAGTGTTTGGTATCACTCTGGTAGAGGGACAGGACATGCCTGAAAATGGCCAGGGGGACGTCTATGTGCGCTACAGGCTGGGAGAGCAGAGGTACAAGAGCAAGGTGAGCTTCTTTCTCTATATAGCAATTTCTCCTTGTTTTTTTTGCTTCCTCCCTTCCTTTTCTCTTCCACTACCCTTTGCACATGCTCTCCACCCTCCTTTCATCCCCCACTTTCTCTCTCTCTCTGTCTCTCCCTTTCTCCTTCTCTCCCTCCCTTTCTCCCAGCAGGTGCCTGTCAGTGGCTCACCTCCACCTTGGCTCACTGGGGCATTGCAGAGCAGCTCATTAGACTAGGTATCTCTGCCACTGTACAATCTCCCCACTACGCTCTCCTTCAGGTAGAGGGCTTCACTATGCTTCACTTGATTTGCATACCCAGCATGCCCTGCTCATCTACCTCTACTTGTTGGCCTCCCCCCTGATGATTCCGCAGTGCGCCAGTCTTGTGTTCTCATGTCATTTCTCTGTAAACCTCTCTGGTTTCGTTTCGGCTTGTTTGTTGAACAAAGCTAATTCTAATTGGATGCTGTCAGTGTTTACGATCCCAGAGAGGAGGCTGAGGTGCACTCACACAAAAAACCCTCCTCTCCTCTCCCCCGCCCCGTCCTGGTCGCACTGAATGAAGACTTAATCCACCTGTCATGTAGTCTCTGCTCACTGTGACACTGCATTAAACCTGACACTGCTCCACACCAGGCTCTGTGTGTGTTTGTGCCAGTGCCCACTCACACTACAGTACTGTATAAGCACTCTGCTCTTTCTCTCTCCCCCAGAACCTGTGCGTTCAAGCCAACCCTCAGTGGAGGGAGATGTTTGACTTCAACAAGTATGAGGACTGTCTGGAGCCACTGCAGGTGGAGGTGTTTGCTAAGAGAGGCAGGAAGAGCGAGGAATCCTGGGGAATGTGAGTATTGATTTGCTTGATTCTGATAGTTAGTGTTGTTTTTGTGGAATGACTGCTGTTCTTTCAGATAGACATCTGCATTGCTTGCTGTTCTGGGTTTTAGGCTGGGTTTCTGTATAAGCACTTTGTGACATCTGCTGATGTAAAAAGGGCTTTATAAATACATTTGATTTGATTTTGATTCTTATTAAGCAGTGATATTGAAGACTGATCCCATCTTTATCTAGGTTTGAGGTGGACCTGTCCAGGCTGCCAGTAGCCACACAGCAGCTCTACACCCACGTCCTGGATGAAGACAAGGGCAGGCTGGTGTTCCTGGCCACCCTCAACCCCTGCTGTGGGGTGTCCATCAACGAAATCAACAAACCTCCCCTGGAACAGCCAGACGAGAGGGACCAAATACTGGAGAAATATGTTAGTACTTTTAGTGACATATTACTATTTATTCATGCCACTTTTGACATTTTACATGCTAGAATTAATATAAGTGCTACTAGCAGATAAGTAAGTACATTTCAAAAGCTCTCTAGGAATACTAACTTGCATTAATACATTTAACTAAGACTGTTTGTATCATTTTACTTTTGCAGAGTTTGAGGAACTCTCACAAAAGTTTGAGGGAGGTTGGCTTCCTTCAAGTCAAGGTTGTCAGTGCCACAGATCTCACATCAACTGACCTCAATGGTGATATATCACTCCACTTTTAACCATTACCGTTTTAACTGGTTAAGATGTATGGCTAAGTTCATCTACATTTGCACACACATTTTAACACAGCTTTGTTAATTCTTTGCAGGGAAAAGTGATCCATTCTGTGTACTGGAGCTGGGGAACAGCAGGCTACAGACTCAGACCCTCTACAAAACACTCAACCCTGAGTGGAACAAAGTCTTTACATTGTAAATGTGTTTTTACTTGGTCTTATAGTGTACTTTGTATACATTGATGCAAATTAATGTATTCCTTCAAATCTGGACTAACTGGTTATCTGTTGACAGCCCAATAAAGGACATCCATGATGTTTTAGAGATGACGGTCTTTGGTGAAGACGGAGACAAAGCCCCTAACTTTCTGGGCAGAGTGGCCATTCCATTACTCACTGTAAGTTGGGGATCCTTGGATTCATAATGGGCTTATAGTTCATTCACTGACATTGACAAGTCGTAAAACATGTAATGGATCAGAGAAGGGCTATTGATTGTACTACATTTTCCAACGCTACAGGTTCAGAATGGACAGCAGGTCACCCGGGGGTTGAAGAAAGCGAACTTGGGGGGTCCGGCCAAAGGGACCATCTCACTGGTGATGGAAGTCCACTATAACCCAGTAAGAATTCACTGGCTGATTCTAGCCTAGCTAATGCTCTTTGACAGATGACCCAATCATATACCATACTCACTGTATACTGAGTTTTCCCATTGCATTGAGTTTCCTTTTGCTTTTGGATTGGATTTGTCTTTGACAATTTGTAATATCTTTCTCAGGTTAGAGCTGGCATAAGAACCTTCAAACCAAAAGAGGAAAAGTTCCTGGAGGACAACCCAAAATTTGCCAAAAAGGTTTGTTTTAGCAATGAATTTTAGGCCTATATAATCTAAAATACATAATTTATACACATAAAGCATGGTAGATACAGTTTGTTGAATGAAGGAGTGAAACGTGAATACTGGAACATGTCCCTCATATAACAGAAACAAAGCTGCCACAGGCAAGCAGCATCAAAGCTTTGATTGGTCATAGTCTAACTAATTGGCTTTATTGGCTCCAGACATCAAACTAATAAAGCCACACAGTAGCAAATAAGGCCTTGAGTAAACCTGAATAAACCTGCGTATGAATCATACACATAAAGCTTTTATCAAATCATGCTAACTGCCATTTGCCATCTGATTTTCCCATTAGGTCCTTGCCCAGAATATCTACAGAGTTCGGAAAATCACCATGGCAGTGCTGCATACGTTACAGTACATTAAAAGCTGTTTTCAGTGGGAGAGCAAGCGACAGAGTATAATAGCCTTCCTGGTAAGTCATTGCCCCATGTTAATGAACTAGCGCTAAGCCTTGGGCTGTGCAAGTGGTATCTCTGTCCTATTTCACTGCAGAACATTTTAACTCTTTCGTTTGTCTATGTGAAATAGATGATGGACATTATGGTTAGTCAGGTATACGTATCTAGATTCTTGTTACTGTTTCTCAGTCACATGCTTCCAAAGAATCGAAGCTCCTGTCTTCATCTCCATTTTGCATTTGAAAGTAAAGTAGAAGATGTGCTCTATCCTTTAATTCAAACCCCACTTGTCTTCCTTCAGTGTTCTTCTGGCACTATGGCTTTATGTGAAGGGCTTCGGTTTGGTCATCTGACTTCCTGGTAAAGCCCTCCCCCTGGGGACGGTGTTCGGAGGATCACAGACTCTGCTCTTCTGTGTGGAGGAGGATTGACAGTCGGCCTGGGAGATTTGAACCTTGTATAAATGTCTCTGTTTAGCAGTTTTAATGAGGCGTTGTGATCTATTGCACTAAGCTGAAATAATCTTTATTTCACCCCATGAATTCCCCTTAAAGCACATGTAATGTCATGATTAAGAGCATCCTCTTGCCATAAACCCCTGGCAGCGTCAAGTCAGGGTGAGGAAGCGGTCACAGACAGATCCCTGTCTTCACAGCCTTCATTCCTCTCTATGTTCTGTCTCGGGGCGACGTGCATTTCATACCTGGTGTATTCTATAAACCCTGCTCACTGATCCTCAGGTGGATATCCCCTCAGGCAATGGCCAGGCTCACCATATCAGAGCCTATGGTACAGGTATGGACACAGACAGACAGACAGACAGACAGACAGACAGACAGACAGACAGGCAGGCAGGCAGGCAGGCAGGCAGGCAGGCAGGCAGGCAGGCAGGCAGACAGACAGACAGACAGACAGACAGACAGACAGACAGACAGACAGACAGACAGAGTATATTGTATGCAGGCGCATAGACAGATAGGCAGAGACTGGGAGGGAGAAAGGCAGGTAGTCAGCCATGCGGGCGGCCAGGCAGTCAGGAAAGCAGGAGGGAAGGCGAGCTGACAGGTGACAGGTCAGCGGGATAGGGCCGTCTCCTGGCCCCCACCTATAATTAGATGCTGTGCAGGCCACCAGAGTGTGGTGGTCTTTCATTTTCACTTATACTACACCTGCTGTTCAAGACCAGCCCACAAATAGGAGATCAGGGGAGGGAAAAACAGGGATTACTCTCTGGCATACCTCTGCCAGAAATGTGTACATTACTGTAGTATAAATAGATCTAAATATATATACTGTAAGTAGATAAATGTTTTGTTGATTTTGTATATAAGCACAGTGCTCCTGTTGAAAGTAAGGACATGTTTTCTGTGTGTTGTCTTATCTTCATTGTGAGGAAGATGGACAGTTTGGTACCCAGGCAGTTCTATTTAGAGACAGACACACTGCAATAGAGCAGTCTGGCTATCTGCAGTCCACTGAGCCCTATGGCTTCCTCTGGAATGAGGTGTGCTTCCCAAAGCGCTTGTGTCAAAGGTGTCTGCTGAGACTTGCCTGAGGAGAGAGTGAATCAGCCTGCTGATAAATAAGTAGTGTTTATCACCCACTCACCAGCAGATAGAGTTAGACCGGAGAAAAGTTCTGATTTCTAATCAGGCATCGCATCCGCAACACCTCACTGCATGATGAGCAGCAACAATTGTAGCCTGAATATGGCCTTCGGATCGACAGTCAAAGAGAACTCCTGGGCGTGAGTAAAAACACAGACAGACAAAATCCTTGCCATGTGAGACGAGAGGGCAGCTGAGGGGCCTTGACAGCCATTACAAGCCCAGTGGCGTACCACTACACATGCTTGTGCCCTGGCCCTCAGCGGGGTCAGCCACAGCACAGCCACACTAGGGCCACTCCTCCTCACAACAAGTCCTCATTTGCAATTAAGTTTGTGTTTGGAGCTGTCTGAAGCAGCATGCCACCGTGTGCCTTAATGAAAGCAGCTCCCTCTCCTATATTTATATCTTTAGGCGCTGGTAATAAGGTAACTGATTCAGACACTGACAGATGGCCTCTGCTTGCCTCTCAGATGTGCATAATTAGAAGACGGTCTGCTCTTTTCTACAGCAGCACTCTGCCTCTGCTTCTCCTGCTTCTCAGAGTATGCCGCTAGGAACGGCTGCAGTGTGGGCTCAGCCTTTAATATACATTACAATACATTATTTATCAGCCAGCTAGACCATTCCTGCTGTTTTACTCCATATGCATCCTGTAATGCATTACCGCTGATGTGGTTTCATCCCAGGACTGTGGGATCATTCGCTAGTGCCTTACCAGGAAGCCTTAGCCACCAAGCTGCTGTAAGTCCCATAGGCTAATACTCTGACCTGCTCACAACATGCAGTATACATTGCTGCTCAGATGAAGCAGTCAGTTCAGGGAATGTGGATCTTCGTGTGTGCATTATAAAATACCTTTTGGTATGGGTGAAGTATTTTTAGTTTGTATGAGAGATTTGTCTGACAAGAAGTACACTGCAATCTAATCTCCCATGAGCTGCATTGGCAATGTTTTGCCCCTTTGGGCAGCATCAGGTCTGGTCTATGTTAACAGAGGTATATAAACTATATATTAGATATATAAACTTCTCAGGCACATAACTTTTCCCTGTGGCAATCAGAAAAGTATGTGTTCTGAGTAGACTATTTAAATTGGGTATATAATGTACACTGTTTTGAAATCAAGATTGATGGCTCATCAGGCATTCTGCTGCCATAGAGTATTATAATGTGAAGAGGAAGCCTCGAATAAATGCAAACTTCTGCAGCACTGTAATGTTTTGCAAGGCTAGAGGTTACTGATTCTGATTGCGTAATCTCCTTCATAAGTGGAGTCTATACTGTTTGAAGTTATACCTTGGATTTTCCACTTGTAGGTTTGTTTTAAAATGGGTACTTTCTAATTAGGTCATGTTAAAATAATCTTTCTCACGCATTAATTTTTTTTCTCCTGCAAAGCCTCATAAACGTCCTCATCAGTGAAGGGAAATGCAAACAATACATTTATATTTTTTTCAGTGCTTGTTTATGCTACAGTAATGAGCCTAGGAAGTGCCTTTTTCTAAAGTTTGACAATGACATGTTCCCTTCTTCTGAGAGAGAGAGCGTGACAGCTACAATCTTCATAAAATAACTCCCTTTTAAATGTGCTTCTCCCCAAGACTGAGCTAGATGAATGTGCCATACATCAGCAGCAACGGAGGAGAGAGGGGTCACCCAGAGTTCTTTCCTGCAGACATTTTCAGTGCCTGTAGATGGCGCTATAGCACTACTGAACTATGTAGTGTAGAGCCTGATGGGAGATCACTTACTGCTCCCAACTAGAATCCTTCATGGGAAAAAACTGTGAAAGTGAAATCCTCCATTCTGTTGATCCACTGGACCAACAGAACAGAAGTTTCTCAAACATGCTAAATGAGCATGTATTAGCCGGCCATATTAATCTGTTTCAGAAGTTTAAAGTTTAGAACAATTTTGATTTAGAAGAAATGAATGTAAGTATGAAAAAGAAAAGGGGGTCATTAACACTTGAAAGCTGATTTTGAGCTTTGCTGTCATTAGAGCGCTTGAAGTATTTCAGTATAATTAATATTTTAACATATGAGCTAGTCTTGTCTGTCAGGAGTTCTGACTAGAAAGAAGCCTGTGTACCTTATGTGAGTATTTGAACCGTTTTCTTTTTGACACTGCCAGGTAGCAACCGTTTTAGACATCATTTGACAGCCTGTGAAATGCTGATTGCCTCACATCACAGACTGTAAAGATGGCATTTGATGAATGTTTTATGCAGTGCAGCTGTAAACACAGTTGGCAGCTGCCAAGGCTGCTTTTTTGGGCTGATAGAATCCTTGTCTCCCAGATGAGAGCAGGACAGGGTCAGATCTGGATCCAGTGGTCCCGGGGGACCACCTGTGAGGTGCTGCTGCACCCGCCCCCCTACACGCCGGCCGGGGCCATTACCCAGAATACCAGGACGGCCAGGATCAAAGGCATAATCAGCGCTGTTATAATTATTCTAGTTAACACCGTCCCCCAAAATGACATGTTTGGTGAGCACTGATCTGCTCCATTTTGGTTTACTGCAATGCAGTAATGCAGTATGTATGACCAGAAGAGTGTGAGAGGAGTGTAAAGTCAAACTGCGTAAATGCCTGAGAAACTTCCTCTTGTTCCTTTCTCTGCATCTGTTTTCTTTCTGTTGAAAAAGTTGGAGGACTGTGTGTGGCTCGGCTGGCTGGCCTTAAAGGAGTGGGTTCTTGCAGTCTCAGGGGGGTTACACTCTTAAACTCTATGGCTGTGGGAGTTCTCACAGAGTTTGCAGTGGGAATGTGGCAGGGAGGGAGAGTGAGACAGCCCTTGATGGTGATGTGTGTGTGTGTGTGTGTGTGTGTGTGTGTGTGTGCATGATTTAGAAAATAGTCTGAGACATATTAATTTTTAAAGAATAGGATATTAGTATCTGCAAACATTGAGCGATGCCTTCCATTTTTAAATAATCAGTATTGTTGTTTGAGTCGCCACAGTGGATGGCAGTGTGTCAGTTGACAGCTCTTGGGGCTAGCTGGTAACCGTAACCTTGAGACGCTTCCTCTTATTATACAGAGAGCCTTTCTCTGGCGGACAGTTGTCCTCTCTCAATTAGAGAGCTAAAATAACACATTTCCTGCAAAATAATAAACGTTATATTCAAGTTTATTTTGATAATTCATTGGCTTGTATTGTAAAATATATTCATTTTCATTCACTTTTTGAAATATTATAAAGTGGCATGAAATTATAATTTCAGAGGATAAACAAGCCAGATGATGTTGCTATGATTAACACTGCAGCCCTCTGTGTTGGTGCATCTGCTGTGGTGCTTTGTCTGTAGCGGTTTTACAGTCAGGTCCAAAATTATTGGCATCCTTAGCAAAAAAGACTGTATAAAATAAATAATACAAAAACTGAGCTATATTGTATGCTCAAGAAAATTTGAACATTTTCTTATTTTATACTAATACAATTGCTCAGAGAGATTTTTTCTCTCAAAAAGATAGGGGTCAAAATTATTGCCACCCCTGTTTCAATACCTCACCTTGCAAGGATAACTGCACTGAGCCTTTTTCTAAAATGTTTTATGAGAACACATTGGGAGGGATCTTAGACCGTTCCTCCATATAAAATCTTTCCAGATCCTTGATATCCTTCGTCTTCGCTTATGGACTGCCCTCTTCAATTCAAACCACAGATTTTCAAAGGGGTTGAAGTCCGGAGACTCAAATCAAATCAAATTGTATTTGTCTCATGCGCAGAATACAACAGGTGTAGACCTTACCGTGAAATGCTTACTTACAAGCTCTTAACCAACAATGCAGTTTTAAGATGAATAAGTGCTCCTGAGATGGCCATTGCAAAATGTTTTGTGATCAATTAACATTTTGGGAGGGATTTTGATGTGTGCTTGGGGTTATTGTCTCCCTGGAAGATCTACTTGCGGCCAAGTTTCAGCCTCCTGGCAGAGGCAACCATATTTTTGTCAAAAATGTCCTGGTACTGGGTAAAGGTCATGATGCCGTTGACCTTAAAAAGGGCCCCAGGACCAGTGGAAGCAAACATCAAAGCTCCACCACCATATTTTACAGTAGATATGGGTTCTGCATATGCAACTTTATTTAGACGCAAAACCCACCATTGGTGTTCGTGGCCAAAGAGCTCTATTTTCATGTCATCCTACCACAGCACCAGCTGCAATCCAAGTGCCAATGCCATTTAGCAAACTCAAGGCGTTTACATTTGTTTGCCGACGACACAACAGTGGTAGGCCTGATCACCGACAATGATGAGACAGCCTATAGGGAGGAGGTCAGAGACCTGGCGGTGTGGTGCCAGGATAACAACCTCTCCCTCAACGTGATCAAGACAAAGGAGATGATTGTGGACTACAGGAAAAAAAAGAGGAGCACGCCCCCATTCTCATTGACGGGGCTATAGTGGAACAGGTTGAGAGCTTCAAGTTCATTGGTGTCCACATCACCAACAAACTATCATGGTCCAAACTCACCAAGACAGTCGTGAAGAGGGCACGACAAAGCCTATTCCCCCTCAGGAGACTGAAAATATTTGGCATGGGTCCTCAGAATGTTCTACAGCTGCACCATCGAGAGCATCCTGATTGGTTGCATCACCGCCTGGTATGGCAACTGCTCGGCCTCTGACCGCAAGGCACTACAGAGGGTAGTGCGTATGGCCCAGTACATCACTGGGGCCAAGCTTCCTGCCATCCAGGACCTCTATACCAGGCGGTGTCAGAGGAAGGCCCTAAAATTGTAAAAGACTCCAGCCACCCTAGTCATAGACTGTTCTCTCTGCTACCGCACGGCAAGCGGTACCGGAGCGACCAAGTCTAGGTCCAAAATGCTTCTCAACAGCTTCTACCCCCAAGCCATAAGACTCCTGAACAGCTAATCATGGCTACCCGGACTATTTGCACTGCCCCCCCACCCCACCCAATCCCCCTCTTTTACGCTGCGGCTACTCTATTTGTTTTTATGCATAGTCACTTTAACTCTACCCACATGTACATATTACCTCAATTACCTCAACTAGCCAGTGCCCCCGCACATTGACTCTGTACCGGTACCCCCCTGTATATAGCCTCCCTACTGTTATTTTATTTGACTGCTGCTCTTTAGTTATTTGCTTTTATTTCTTTACTTAACACTTTTTTTATTTTACTTTTTCTTTTAAAAAACTGCATTGTTGATTAAGGGCTTGTAAGTAAGCATTTCACTGTAATGTCTACACCTGTTGTATTCGGCGCATGTGGCAAATAAAATTTGATTTGATTTGTTAAATGACATGGAAATAGAGCTCTTTGGCCCTGTGGTGTGTGCTGTATCATAATGACTGCCTCTAACATGCTCACCACCTTCCCAGTCACAGAGGACACACCTCCCCAGGCGGCCACTGCAGAGCCTGCGACCTGACCGCCCCTGTGTGTGGCTGTGACTGGGCAGGACTCGGCCCCGGCGTGCTAATGTGTCTGTGAGTCGAGCTGACAGGGAGGGAAGGAAAAGAGAGTCCACGCCACTCCCTCCCTCCCTCCCCACCTCCTCTGGGGGAAAGGCTCGCATGGCGGATCTGTCACC